TACTCCCTAAAATATGAATAATTATGAAGTTTCACCCCGTATAGAAGTACACTAAAGTCTACATGCTGTGGGGGAGAAGACAAGCCAATAGATTGTAATATCAAACGATCAGTTACTCTATATGTATCAGCGTGTGAAATTGATTTTTTTTTAAACGATATCGTATGATTAAAATGTAAAGACACGAGCATAACATCATACGTTTTATCACTAAGAAACTCGTGACTCGAAACTTCTCGTGTTTGGTAAACGGGTTTCTTCCCTGTTTGATCAATGATTAGTGTTTGTGAAGTAATCACATGTATAGTAGATTAAAATAACATTTGTCTTGATATTTTAGTGTTCCATTCCCAGTTACCTAAATATTATTATAAATATCACAATAAGAAATACTATAAAACTAGATGTACTTCCGCAGAGTTCCCGAAAGTTTTCTGTTTCAAGAGAAAATAAAACCAAAATTAAGAGTAACAAATATTTTTATTTCTTGCTTTTGAAGTTCATACGACGTGCTGTGTTTTCGCCTATAAAATACATAATTTTTCTCGTGATTCATGACATGCACACGTTTTACTGACGTCTCAACAGTATAAACTGCAACGTAAGCGTCTTTTATGTGATGTTATTTTAGTGTCTACTGCCTGCCTGATAGATATTTGTATAATGGTGCGAGTAGTTAAAACAGATGACCCCTCCAGGTGGCCGAAGGCCACCTTTAGGGGAAATATAGCTTCAATTTTTTTTTTTTTTTATCAAGAATATTTTCATTCTGAGTAATATATATTTCGGATAGTTTTATAGTTTGTGTGTATCTTTGAAGTAAAATAATGGAACAGTAATTCGTTTAGCAAGTAACAAATATTATTCTAATAATAATTGGATAAAATGAAATTTCGAAATTTGTGATTTAAAAGAATAATGCAACATCAGCTCATGGTTTAAATAATATTTTATTATTTGTCAAATGTAATATTCAAATAATTTTTTAAGTTACACATTCAGTGCACGTAGTGGGTTCAAGCAGTATTTTTAATTACACTTTTAATGCACATTATGGATTCAAATAATGTTTTTAATTACAATTTTAATGCACATTGTGTATTCAAATAATGTTTTTAATTACAATTGTAATGCACATTATGGATTCAAATAATGTTTTTAATTACAATTGTAATGCACATTATGGATTCAAATAATGTTTTTAATTACAATTTTAATGCACATTATGGATTTAAATAATGTTTTTAATTGCAATTTTAGTGCACAAACTAGGTAATGTGCCTTGTTTATTTGTATAATTCTGATGCTCACAAAAAATAATTATATTAAGGACCAATATTCCTGTTACTTAACTTAGTGCTAATTTTAATCAAATATTTTGAGATTTTATTTCAACAAATTTCGTGTGTATTTAGTAAGGGGAAATATTTTTAGCTTGCTAAATTAATCAGTGTTCCATTATTTTACTTCAAAATTTTGATAACGTCGTTGTATTGAATGGGTTCGCGACACATCGGAATGGAGATTTGACCTGATTAGTCTGGTTGTATACGTAATCTTTCCACTGGGTTAACTATGCATATATCTTGGTTGTTTTAAACACGTACAGATATATGGGGACAAGAGACCGCACCTGATAGGAAACCCTACTGTATATCTATTAACAAGGTGAGCCTACTTGAATGAAGCTTCCAATCAACAAATAATGGCATGAAGGCAATGTGACTGTTTCTTTGTAAACTTAAACAATATATTCGCTAAACAATGCATATCTGGATGTTAGTTATGTAGAACATTAAACACAATGCTTGTAGTGCCAAGTATTTCACGCAAGGTTTTCCGTAAAATGAGAAGTGCATTGATGAATGCTGTATAGTACGAGGTTCTTCGCCCCCCCCCCGTAGCACAGCGGTATGTCTGCGGACTTACAACGCTAGAAACCGGGTTTCGATACCCGTGGTGGGCAGAGCACAGATAGCCCATTGTGTAGCTTTGTGCATAAATTCAAACAAACAAACAAACGAGGTCCTTCATTTAGAAATATAATTTATTTGTTCTGGATTTAAAAGTTTAAAAAATCTGTTAAGCTGATTCATCGACTTGAAGTATACGCTGAGTCACATTAATGAATTAGCCACAAAGCACGTGTTCGGTTGACTTTGCAGCACTGTTGTACTCTGGTTTAACACCCCAAGAAAAGAGCATCTGTGTCTGAGAACGACAAGGCTATAGATCGAAGTCTACTAAGATGAAACCGATAAGTCTGAACGAGAATTCCTTATAATGTGAATAGAGATATCACTGTTTTCATTTCTCAGCGCTTTCCGTGTTAGGCTACGTAGAACGGAATATTTCAGTTTTATTAAGAATCATGAGATATATATATTGTGTAACGTATTTTCTATACTCTTGATAAGGCACGCCTTACTTGTAAGCAGTGCAGTGTTCATTGCAGTATCAGTCTTTTAACGTCATGAATGACGTAAGCGTGGCACTTGATAACACAGAAATCCAGAAGAAATTATTTTTAAATTTGTTGATCATAGTTTACAGTATTAGCTAAAGATGTAATTCGTTTGCTGATTGAGTACTTGCCATAAGTTAGATATTTCGTCGTTTTGATAAAGCAGTGTAGATGAGTGATGCTATTGATTACGAGGTATCATCAAAGTAAATCGTGTTGATTAACACGGGCCATTTCTCTACTGTTTACTACAGCGTCACAAGTTTTAGTTCGTGTGCGATTACTTCATATTTCACTTTAAAAATTTCGTTTTATGCCAACACTTGGGACTTTTGTTGTCATAGCAAACAACCAGTCTTCGAGGAATATGGCCTTATCGAAAAAAGGCTTCACATCGTAGGATCAAATCCGAAAGTCTCACTTTGCATTTATTTTTCCTTTAAACAACAAGATTAAACCCTTTCTTTAAAGCAGACAAATTGTCACTTGTGAAAAAAGGGAATGAAAAACAACTCAAAAACACCCGCAGGTCGTCAGTTTAGTGTAAATATCTTAGTATAGATTAAGTAAGGAGTGAAAAACAAGTGGCACATGTTGTTTAACATATTCGCTACAAAATGTACTTTTGTTGTGCCTTCCCGGTCCTAGGGAGGAGGGTTTGGTTTATGAACTACGATGACGAACAGGTAAAAGCTTATTTTTATAGATAATTAAAATATTCAATTCCGAATGCTTTAGTAAAAGATAAAATAAAAATGATAGTAATCGGTTAACTTAATTGTTGTAGATTACTTGGTTGTAGGTAGAATTATCTATAGAAAGTAAACTTAGGAAATTTATACGATGGCTAGTTATTTTGATATGAAAATATTAAAGTTTTAGAAGAAAAGCAGAGAATGAGGCCCTTTACTTTAGTAGTTTAGTGGGACATCACACGACGTTCTGATTTAGAACAGTAAAATCAACTTCACAACTTACAGACTCTGAGACTGTCGACTTAGTCTTTACGATAGTATAGATCAAGACTTTACTGAAACATTTAAAAACTTTTACAACACATATCACGATCCACAAGATTTACTCGAGTATAAATCATTGCTGCATCCAGCCCCCGAGCACTGGAAAAATATCTTTATTAAAATTAAAATTTATAAAATAAAATATCGTTATTTACTCGCATTTTAAAGATGTGAAGTATTATCCTTATATTACACATATTCCATTCTGTCATAAGTTTTGAAACCCTTGGAACGGTAGACAGATATTTCCTGAAGTTCGAGTAGAACTATAGAATCTAGGATTCTAAATTGTTAATGTTGCAGTCCAGCCCACGAGTGAATTACTAAGTTACAGTCAGAACTCCGTGCTGACTTGTATGTTGGACAGACCTGGTCACACTAGATTACTGAGCTTTTCAAACTCTACCATATTATACATAAATATAGAAGATTGGTAGAATGAAGCAAAGAAAATATTGCTCATTAGCTGTCTCCCAGTTTTTGTATTGATATTTTGTTCCAAGAGTGTTTTTTTTTGTTCATTTAAATGGTAGGTTATCAGGGCTTTGGTAAATCATACACTGGATAACACGTAGAGAGAATAATTGGGTTAAACTGCTCATTGTAATGCTACTATGTAAAGACTTGGACTTTAAAACCACAAAATGTAATACAAACAGTGTTGGGTTATGGGTACTTATTGTCACTTTATTGGAGTGCTATCACGTATTGAAAAAAAAAATACAGATTTTACAAACACAGAACTCTGTGTTATATTATATATCCATACATCTGTAACAGCTTACAGCCTCGATGGTGGCTGACCCTAGCTGAGTGGTCAGCTTGCATGGATGGTGAATCCGAGGATTGAATATTCTGACCCTTTGCCACAGTAACGCTCTCCTCACTTTGGGACCCTTTCGGGCGCTATAAAATGAGTCAAACCTCGCAATTCGATCAGACAAGAGGAGCTCAACAGTTGGCGGTGGGTGTTGTTAGCTAGTTGCTATTCCTTTGGTATAACTTTGGAAAATTAGGGACGGCTATAAATGTGTGTAGCTTTGCGAGAAATTATCGTGAAACAACCTGTATTTGCCTAATTAGTTGACCATTTGAACAGGCAAGAATTAACATACAGCAGTATATATATAACTATTCAATTTCAAGAGTTTATCTTATTTTTTGTCTGTTAACATTATACTACACTGTGTGCATGTGATATTGTGTAGGGATGATGCAAATGCTATCCTTACTATCTTATTTGCATTGTTTTTGAAGGATTGATATTAGCCATCCCTACATTTACTTCCTTTTTTAAAAAGTTTTTTTCTTTACTTGTAGATGAAGGGATTAGTTGTACCGTTACTTAAGAAGGCTCAATTATTATTGTTAATTGTGAGAGGTGTTACGTCTAGACTCTCCAAAGAAGTTTATTTTTCCCCAACTGTAATTATTACACAACATTTTGCAGTAAGATATTATGATTTTAATCAAGGTTTAGAAGCAGTCATTTAACCTTTGACAATATATTTGTTTTCTACTCTACAGTATAAAAATATTTATGGGAGAGCAGTAGACATTTTCTTTATTTGATTATTTTATTACCCTCGCCCTGCGATGGTATTGTAGTCGGATCCGTGTGTGTGTCCGCATAAATATCTCGAAAACTAATAAACTAACGTACACAAAAAAGTAACAGAAGATGGGAAGTATGTATGGAGTAGTCCTCCACAAATTGGATACAGATTCCGGATCACTTTGAAACATTTTTATAATGATAGTCCTCCACAAATTGGATACAGATTCCGGATCACTTTGAAACATTTTTTATAATGAGAGATAGGGCAATTTCACGGTTTTAGGTTAATAACTCTTGTAAAGTGTGATCAGATTTGTACCAAATTTTATGGACACATTAAGGTTGATACTCCTCATCACATAACAAAAATGATCCGGATCGTTGATTATTCTGGATCTGAGAATGATTTCTGAGTTTTCGAAGGTGAAATTTTACGTTATCCAATATAAACGCAAGCAATTTCGAAAAGGATCGGCGGGGGGAGGGTATGCATTCTGTTATATTGCTGTTGTTAAGGCGTGTATTTCATTTGATGGTGTTTATGTACTTATAAGGAAACGCTTGCATGGCAAAATGTTAAATGTTTTACATATTATGTACTTTAATATAAAATCAGCTGTTACAGTAAAGCCATTAATAGATTTTGATCTTACTGTAAATCATTTATCATTTATTTCTAAGATGGAAGTTAAGTTTGATGGGGATGAATGGGTGAATATGTAAACACAAAAACTTGAATTATGTTATTCAGAAGATTTAATTTTTGCTTGTGATATAGGAATAGTGGCTGATTCAGTTACTCGGTAGATAATGGCCCAGTTTGTAGTAACTGTGTTTTCAATGTGAACCATAATAAAAACTAAGTTATTTTGCGTAAGACGGGTGATTGTATTGAGAAAACGGCTTATTGATTTAAGAGTGTACGCGAATTTTTTTGTACCTTAACATAGGTAGTTTAGCGTTGCAATTTCGTTTCGATTATGTTGAGCTAAAGCTGTAGTAACACTTGCAAAGCAAACGTTAAAAATATCTTATAGTAAACACGGGGAGTATGAAATACCGTACACTAATGTGGGCAGTGTAAAATACAGCACAGTAATGTGGGCAGTGTAAAATGTTATCTAGTAATGTGTGCAGTGTAAAATACCCTACAGCAACGTGAACAGTGTAAAATAACAAACAATAACGTGGTCAGTGTAAAATACCATACATTAATGTGGGCAGTGTCAAATACAGCACAGTAATGTGGGCAGTGTAAAATATTATCTAGTAATGTGTGCAGTGTAAAATAACAGACAATAACGTGGACAGTGTAAAATGCTATAGAATAATGAGTCAGTTTAAATACAGTACAGTAATGTGGGCAGTATAAAATACTATATAATAATGTGGGCAATATAAAATACTATATGATAATGTGGGCAGTATAAAATACTATATAATAATGTGGGCAATATAAAATACTATATGATAATGTGGGCAGTATAAAATACTATATAATAATGTGGGTAGTATAAAATACTATATAATAATGTGGGTAGTATAAAATACTATATAATAATGTGGGTAGTATAAAATACTATATAATAATGTGGGTAGTATAAAATACTATATAATAATGTGGGTAGTATAAAATACCGTATTGCAACGTGAGAAATGTAAAAATACCACAGTGTAATGTGGGTAGTATAAAATACCATACAGTAACATGACCAGTGTTAAATTCTATACAGTAACGAGACACTTTAAAATGTCGCGCATTAATGTGGGCAGTTGTGAAGCGTCGTACAGTAATATCGGCAGTGTAAAATGCCATACAGTAACGTGGCCAGTGTTAAATTCTATACAGTAACGAGATACTTTAAAACGTTGCGCATTAATGTGGGCAGTTGTGAAGCGTCGTACAGTAATATCGGCAGTGTAAGATGCCATACAGTAACGTGGCCAGTGTTAAATTCTATACAGTAACGAGGCAGTGTGAAACATCGTACAGTAATGTCGGCAGTGTAAGATACCTTAAAGCAACACGGTGAATGTAAAATGCCAAACTAAGGGAACACTTTTACTACATAAGAATTGTTATAATTAATTATAATAATGATTAAACATTGACGTATTTTTTGTTTATCTTTCATGGAAAAATATTTCCCAAAAGAAATCAGCAGTAAAAAAATACATGGTTGAGTTTAAGAAATATTCAACATTATTGTCTCTTTAATCTTTGATTTTAATGTATTGCCATTATGACGTAAAAAGTAGTTCGTTATCCCTTACCTAATTTTTGATGGGTTTGTGGTATGCAGATACAAATAACTTCTCAACCATTATTTTGTCTTTTGTATCCTTGCCGGTCTGACGAGCTCTGGTTCTGGGCAGAAGGCCTCGTCGGCACTGGATATGACATATATTGTGTGAGTGACATACTATTACATATTCGTCTTTGCTTTCACTCATGAGTTCTCAGAGTAGAACAGAAATAATTTTGGACTTTTGTGGGGCTTCCGGTGGCATAGCGGTATGTCAGCGGACTTATAATGCAAGAAACCGGGTTTCGATACCCGTGGTGGGCAGAGCACAGATAGTCCATTGTGTAGCTTTGCGCTCAACTATGAACAGACTCTTGTGGTTAAATTTTGTGATTAGTCAGTTAACAGAGAAAAGGCGAATTACAAACATAATTTGGCGTTTTCAAACAGATTACTTTCTTCTCTTATCTCTATTTTCAACTGTTTTTGTAACGCTTTCACTGCTGTGCATCTTTTTTTATTATTAGTTAAACCAGTAAGAAGTTTACAGTTCACTTTCAAGTAAAGTTAATTTCTATCTTACTTTATTTAAATATTTTTTTTCACCCTTTCAGTTTTTGTTTCAATAGTTGATTTCCTTATTAAATTTCCACAACAATAAAACGATCGGCCATTCTTCTGTTTATTGAACTTCACACCATGCCTTATCTCATACATCCTTCATCAAATCACCATACCTGTCTTTCCACACACTGCTTCCTCGAACTCTCACTTATTGCGAAGAGTATATAACAATGTGCTGGGTAAGTCCTTGGAAAACCACAGTGTTTCGTTTCTGAGCTGGCAAGTACTTTGAAGAAACAAACTCAGTGACTGTATCTCTTCTTGTACCAGTAAGTTTTTATGTAGGCGTTGTTATTAAATTATATGGGTGATAATAATAACGAGTGGCTCACTAGTTTTATTTACAACACGACAACAAGCTTGATAAAAAGTCAAATTCCTGTAACGTATTACTGATCAGAGTGGATAAATAATTAATTTAGCGATATCATCATGGCATCTTCTAGTGATAGGTTGATATGTGGAAAAACAATATGGTATATAGTTATCTGAGTAAAAGCTTAATGATAATGTAGTAATGCTAGTTATCAAAGTTCTCTAGCTATTTCACACTAATAGGTGGGGATGTGGAAATGTAAAAGTAAGACTATAGACCTCGGATAATTCTTTGTAAAAATAACGTTTGAAATATTATCTTACCTGTGAAGCAAAAAGTGTGTTATTTGTGGGGGAAGACTAATTCAATTGATTGAAATAATTTATAAAAAAAAAGTTATTAATAACGTGGATAATACGTTGATAAGGAGCACGTGTGTGTGTGAAGGGTGGTCAAATGAATTACGAAATATTAAAGAAAGTTTCTTCACGCTTAAACGTTCTATTTCAGTAATTGTTTTATCTATGTGTGTATATATATATATCATTTACAATGTTTTAGGACACATGGTGCTTTCGTTCAGAAGTTGGTAGTTCAAAAGAACTGTTATAATTAAATAATACAAATTAGCACTTTTAAATTTTTAGAGTTCATTGGTTCTAGACAAGAGGAACAAGTGAGGCTTGAGAGACAAAGCACTCGTTAACCCTGCAGATTGTTGTAAGGAATTACAACAAAGACTGTTCAGCTTGATGAAATAACCATATTTTACATTTGTTGAGAATCTTGCCCGTGACTCGTGAGCCACTTAATGTGACTGGTTAACATGGCAGCTGTATACTGTAAGCCTATGGTTGTTAATTGAATTAATATCCTAGAAAGTACGCTGATTATCTAGGCAGAGGTTAAGCAGTCAACAGAAATTAGTTCTCACGTATTTTTCATGCAACACAAGAGTAAACATGATTAGAGAAAATCCGGTCACTAGGGGAGGGTAAACGTCACAAGTCGTCTCCTTACAGTCTGCTCACCCACGACCTCGTTGGCGTGTCTCTAGAAAAGTACTATATTTAGTACGCGCTTAGGTATTCACTTTTTCGATGACGAGGAACCCACTTTGAGACTAATAATGGTTGGAGACGG